TCCAGTATGACTGAAAGCATTGGTTATCAAAGAGGAGATTGGAAATTAAAAAGAAAAGAGAGAGAGCTTGACAGCATCATAATATTGAGAATTTCTCTTTCACAGCCTGTAGTGGTGTTAACAAGCGTGCATAGATAGCATGTATAGGTGGGCATTCAGGAAGTGATAAGATGCTATGAACTGATAGTCCCAAATAACCTTGGGGCAATATCTCAAAGTCATGGTTAAGTAGACTACTCACTCACAGTAGGGGAGCAGCTGATGAATCTGCAAGTACCACAGGATCCAAGAATCATTGGTGTCTTCAATTCCCATAACCCAACTTCCCTTTAAGACAGGAAGGCATGGTACTAACTGAGTTTAGTACCAAAGGAAAAAAGCCACAATTCTAAAGATTGCTAAATTTTTACTCCTCTTTCCAATCACATACTTGAGTAAATGCAAACATTCTTCAGTTTCCCTTGTAAATTTCACCACCCGTGATGTGCCTGATTGAGACAGAATCATCCATGTAGGAGAACCTACCTACTACCTACTTCTAAACCATACAGTGAAAGAATGGCTCTGATGTGGGAGTGATTTCTTATTAATAAAGGAACTGCCTAGGCCCCTTGATAGGCCAACCCTTAGGTGGGTGGAGTAAACAGAACAGGATGCTGGGAGAAAGAAGCTGAGTCAGGGAGTCGCCATGATTCTCCCACTCCAGATAGATGCAAGTTAAGATCTTTCCTGGTAAGCCAGCTCGTGGGCTACACAGATTATTAGAAATGGGTTAGATTAATATGTAAGAGCTAGCCAATAAGAGGCTACAGATAATGGGCCAGGCAGTGTTTAAAAGAATACAGTTTCCATGTAATTATTTCGGGGCATAACCTAGCCATGCGGGCGGCCGGGTGCTGGGGACGCAACCCTGCCGCTCCTATCACTACATGGCTCAGCCACTCTTCCTATTAATTTTAATTTTTTTCTGACCTAAATGAAAATTGGGGAAGATAGTCCTTAAAATAAACAAAATTACTTATTTTTCTGTGTAATATTTGTATCGTTAACTTTAGTAAGTTGATAAAGAAATGTGGTTTTCTAAATTTCTCGGTTTCAACTTCTAATGTGATGAATTATGAAAAAGACAACCTACTAAGTACTTTACCTGTTACTGCAACCAAGTACCTGGTGAGATGCAAATTGTAAGGAAGGTGTTTATTTTGACCCAGAGTGGGAGAGGATACAGGGAAGGCGTGGTAGTCAGGAGTGAAGCAGTTGCTCACATTGCAACTACAATAAAGCATCAGTGCATAAATGCAAAATAGAATTGAGCTACAAAACCTCAGGGAGCACCCCTCCACCCACCCACCCCCCAGTGATGCATTTCCTTCCGCAAAGCTCCACCTGATACAGGGTCTACAATACCAACAGCAGAGGACCAAGTGTTCTAACACCCGAGCCAGTGTGGTATATTTCACATTCAAGCAACAACGCCTGCAAAAAAGAAGCTTCCTGAGTTCTCAATAACTTTTAAGTGAAACTGATAAAGAGTAACTAACTACTGTCAAGAATAAAGTGATAAGAGACTGAAATTCAAAACCCAAGTCTTTTTCAAAACTGAGCTTCCAGATGCAAAGAAAGGCATGAAAACACATGAATTAATTATTTAAGCTAGTTGTTTATAATAATTATTTGAAAGGCTGACAGTCAAGCTGTTATTAGAACGTTCTGGCTCTTAAAAAGATAAAACTCATAAGGATAAGTTTGTGCCAGTAAATATTATATAATACCTCCAAGAATTCTTCTTGACAATGAACTTGCAGACAAAGGGCATGCTCTTTTAAATACATGTAATCTTGGAACACTGCTTTGTAGCTGATTCTCATTCTTTATTTTACACAAGAGGAACCAATTAACAGGAAGCATAAAGAATGTAAGTCTCAAGAAAATAGACAGTAGAGTCTGGATTTGGGGTTACTTTATAAATTTAAAGTTCAAGGATTTTACTGGCTCTACTTCAGGTATCTTCTTAGGTTTATCACATGGAAATTAGAAAATTTTTATTTTTAATTTAAATTTTTATTTTGTAAACTCTAAATCAAGAAATCTTACTCCATTTTATTGAAGGATCATATAGTATACCAGTAGTCTAAAATAATATTGTTTCAGACTCAAATGCCTTCTTATTAGCTGTGTACAGCTACAAAACACATCACACACTCTCCTGATGAAGCCCTATATGCCCTTGCTTTTCTGAGTTTCTAAACACTGTAATTAGTTCATATATCATACTTACAATTCTGGCTTTCATTAACAGCTGCTAATAATGTGTTCTATTAGTCACCATTCTCAAAAACACTCATGACTCAACTATGAAAATGAGTGTGTGTTGATGGCCATCATATGAATACCTAAAGCCAATAGACACTGAAGTCCAAGAAAGAGGAGCAACTTTTAGCTCGTTGATGGATCTATCCACATGGTGGCTAAATGCATTTCTGTGAAGCAGACAACTTCACGAAAAGTGTTTACTTATATGAGTTTTATTGTTTAAATTAAATCTAGACCACTAGGTAATAAATTGTTCTTGATTCAAATAGAAAACTAAGATTCAGCAAGAAACATCAGTGAAAAGGTAAATATTCCCACAGACAACATACTATGGCTCTTGGAACTCTCATAGGCAATCCAGCAATATAAAATATTTAGGATATCAGTTTGCTTGGTCATTCTTGGATAGTCTGCCTCTGCTTATGGGAGATTTAAGCTTCCCTTAAGACCTTTATATCATTTTGGAAGGAAATGAACAATTATGGAGAAAACTAATAACAGAAGTTGAACTAGGGGTTCTCTCATAGTCTATTTAGTGGTATGAAATTATTATTTCATATAACTTTTCAATAAACCTATCAAGGCTAATTTAACATTTGTATTTAAAAAAATTTTGTCTGCATTTTCTCCAAGTAAATATTGAATTAATAAGACATACAGAAAATAGGAAGATAGATAGATAGATAGATAGATAGATAGATAGATAGATAGATAGATGGATAGATGATAGATAGATGAAGACATGAAATAGTGTTCATAAAATATCGCATCAGTAGTAATCGAAGGATTATAATTACTCTCTGTGAAGCATGAGAATCAAAAATAGAAGGGAAATATTGATCTCAGATGAGAACATATGATTGAATAAAGTTCAGGTTCTTACTCTTAGAAGAAAATTATGACTCAATAAGTTAAAGCAACATATTCAGACTTACACTTCTGGACATGACAGGCAGGACTATATTACAAAACCATCTGACAGCAAAGGCAGCAATAGTCTCCATGTGCTGACCTATCTTTCCCATGAAGGGAGCGAGGATGGTTCTGTGAATTCACAGGTGAATGTATCCCACAGAGATTTCAGCTCAACTACATGAATCTACACATTTATTCTTAGGAGAATTATTTACAGGTATTTGAGCATCCACTGGGAAACCTAATCTACATTACTGCTGAAATTATACCGTTTAATGGAAAAGTGTAAAAATAATACTGAACATTGTCCAAAAGTCTATGATTAATAGTTTAGTTGTGAGTTATCTGCTTTCAAGATGAAAATCAAAAAGTAAAGTATTTTTTTGGAATTACATGTTCCTTCTAAGCTTGCTCTCCATGTCTATGAGGATACAATTAAACTTTCCACAACCAATCAAACCCATTTAATTTCAGTGTTGATAATTAACAACTATGGGTATGCACAACCGTATGTGTACACAGGGATGAAAAGAAAAAAAAAACACACTACTCTTCAATTTAAACTTCTATTCCTTCAGAAGCACCTGTGAACTTGGACATAAGATCAAAAACTTTAAGTGAATCCTTGTTCCTTTTGGGTCTTGTTTGCTTAAAGGAGCCACAAGACTGTTTTTGAAATCTCTACAGTGGGAAAAATAAAATGGTAAAAATTTCTGCTTGGTTCGGTAGCCTGTTCTCTGGAAGCAAGCAATGTGACTATGGAGGAAGTATAAAGTTAAAGCATAAATCTTTCTAAGCAGATCCATAAGAGTGGAGCTAGGAGAGGCAGTGTACTCATGAGTGGATTTTACTGGGTACCGCCCCTCCTCCCTCATTTCTGTAACATGTTCTTGTGTCTCTGCTTCATCGAAGCAAATTCAGCTGCAAATGGGCCATCTGATCCACGATAAATTGAGGGTATAGAAGCACAAGAAACAGGCTTGCTTCACCAAGTTTCTCTTTATCAATGAGAGACCATTGTTGCTTTAAATAGCTTTGTGGGGCTGAAAATGTGAGACACTGGAGTTATATGTTCGCTTCGGATATGGGGATCTAAGTAAAGAACAGCGATACTTGGTCTCCATCCCCAAATAATTGCATTGGGGAGTTGAGTGGGAAGAGTACTGGGGTCTAGGGGTCGCTGAGATTATAACAGATCAGTGACTTTCTGGCTGATTAGAAAAGGAAAAGAAAATGTTGGAAAAATAGGCATATGAATCCCCTACCTTATGCATCCTCGTTGCAAAGAAACTTAACTGCCTCTCTTCTTACCCTTCTCTGTGACGTCCCTGTTTCTGCCCCTTCCTACCCCACTTTACACTGGTTTTGCTCGGAAGCGCATGAAGACAGGGAGACTGACTCTCAGAGTTGCTTTGCGCAAAATCCACCCCTTCTCTCTCCTCCCTCCTCTCCAGCCTCTGGATCCCTCACAGCGCGCTCCCTCCCTTCCACACTGTGAACAGTGCTTTGGGATGCTAAGGACAGGGCTCCCTGTACTTCTGAGGTGGGAGGGGGACGCAAGTAGAGGAGAATCTCAGACGCTCAGCCTCAGCCGTTCCCTTCTGGCTGACGCTCTTCTCTGGTTCCGCCAGGGCTGGTCTGTGTAAGAAACTGACGGAGCTGAGGCAGCTGCGAGAGAAAGACAGAGGAAGAGGCTGGAGATCGTGAAACCCAAAAAGTCTTGGTTCTCTCAGTTACTGCCCGCATCGAGTCCGCAGCAGGCCTTCAGCACCATGGACAGCCGCGTCGGCTCTGGGAACACCAGCGACTGTTCTGACCCCTTGGCTCCAGGGAGTTGCTCCCCAGCACCTGCCTCCTGGCTCAACTTGTCCCATGTAGATGGCAACCAGTCCGACCCATGTGGTCTGAACCGCACCGGGCTTGGCGGGAGCAACAGCCTGTGTTCTTCGCCTGGCAGTCCTTCCATGGTCACAGCTATAACCATCATGGCCCTCTACTCTATCGTGTGCGTAGTGGGCCTCTTTGGAAACTTCCTGGTCATGTATGTGATTGTCAGGTAAGGAATGCCCTGAGCGCTGAGCTCCAGCAGGGGGGAAGGAGACAAAGTCTGTGAGTGACAGAAGAGAAGCAAACAGGGTGCCAAGAAGGGGTGACTTGAATAGAGCACTTGCTGTTTGTGTGTGAAATTTTACTTTTCTGTGTTTTTCTCACTCCCTTGATAAAGCAGTGTTCAAAATTCCAAAACCAAGAAGTTCCTTTGGGCAAGGCTTTTAAGATATTGTCGGGGGAGGGGCGGTGCTCCATCTTAGATCCCCATCTTCTTCTAAGCTAAGAGGGTCTTTGAAGCATGTCTTAGAGTCAATCATCACTCTGCATGAGTTATAAGAAAAAAAAGTGAGTTGTGGGGGAAAAAAATCTAGTTGGCTTTCTCTAAGTGAAAGGTAGAGGCGTCTCAGTAGGTTAAAGAGATGAAGGAACTTGCTAACTTTCTTAGACCTGCTGGTTTAGGCTGGACCACAGCCCCACCCATTCTCAGGTGTTCAGAGAGTCCTTATCTTACACTTCTTCCAGCCTGAGGCTGCCCCAGCCCAGGTGGAGGGAGTTTTCCTGACAGCTCTCCAGGGCGACTAGGATATAGCAAGCACGCTGTCATGATCTTTAGCCCAGTTTGCACTTTCTCCCTGCAGATCTGCTCTGGGAGTATTGTTGGGTAGCTCAGGGCATCTCCAGGGTATAACCATTTTTTCAGGACCTGCAAACCTGGGAGTCAATTAGTGATAATAAAAACAGCAACATTATGAACTACTGGCAATTGTTCAGGATGGTCTGGAGAGGAAACTCTCTCAATTTTACTTCCAAAGAGTTTGAAGTCTGCTTTCTGTTGTTTGGGGTGTTCTAGATGGATTTGGCAAAGCCTCAGCACTGAGAGTGATGTTGGGTGTGTTGGCATTGAGTTACATGCTCGAATCCTGCCTGTGAATGTGGAATACTCATCTATCCACTTTTGCTAAAGTAGATGGATATCCCAGTACTTTAAAATGGCTCCTGATTTGAGTCCTTCTTATGTGGCATCATGAGCATGGCATTTTCATGTTTAGTTACAGCATTTGCTTCACCTCTTCAACACACATGTCACAGGCTTCAACAGAGCGCTCAAGTCATTGAAGTATCATTTTCCTCATTATGCTCTTGTTCCCGAGGTACTGCAAATTGCTTGTCTGATTTCTTTAATTAATGATTGTTTAAAGTAAAACCGATTTCTCTGATTTTGGGTAAGAAACATGTCTCTGAGAAAAGAGCACCATCTATTGAGAGGAAGGCTAATAGCAGAAGGAAAAATACAAGAAGAAAATCAATAGGAAAATTTATGCTTTAAAACATTTACATTCTGTAATTCAGAACAGAGATTTGAATGAGAGAGATTAAAACTCAGTCTCATCCCACAGTTAAGGCTGTAATTTAAAGATGACTTTCAGTAAGGAAAATATAGTGTTCATTGTTCCTAGAGGGAAAAAAAAACAAATCACAGAATCATAAAATGAAAGAGCTGAATGGGCTGGGGGTCATCTATGCTAGACAAGTTAACAATACAAAGAAAATCAATTGTTTACCCAAGAAAAGATATTAATTAGTTCAACACCCCTGGATGTCACTTAGCTTATGCAATTTTCTGTTTATCAGGATAGAAATTGATTATTTGAGTTAATTCTGATGCTAGATCAACAGACAAAGCTTGGTTTGCAATAGTAATACTGAAATAACAAAATTCCCCCATTTATGGGTGGGCACTTGGGTTTTAAAAGTGTGAAACAATTGCTAAACCATTCAAGAGTCCTTTCTCCTTATTAGCCCACAGAGTCTTCGTCATTTTTATTCCCTCTGGTTTCTATTTTCTATAAAGAGGGCTAATATCACAGGAACTACTTGAGGCTGACAGTTTGGTCTTTTCCCAGTGCTGAAGAGGTTGCTGGCTGGGTGGATTCCTTTCAAAGACTTCACCTTGCCCTCGTTCACTTGGAGACACACGGTGACACTGTCTTTCACTGAGAACACGGCATTAAGCTTTCTTCTCTGTACTGAAAGTTCTGACAAAAGCAGTTCCATTTGAAAGGTCAACCCAAACACCCACTTGTGGCAGAACAGAGGCTTAATTCCATTGGCAGATAACCTTCTGGGAATAAGAACGTGAAATAGAAAAATAGGCAGTTCAGTGACAGATGAGGTTCTAGAGAAGCATATGTGGGTTGAAGAGACTGTGCCTAGGTAGCTGAGCATATTCAATTGGATGTCTGGAGGTTGTAGTGCCCCATCTAATCTCAGGGACTCTGTCACTCTGTTACAAAAGGAAAGTACAGACCATGAAGGAACGAGAGCAGCTCACTAACATCTACCTGCTTGAAGCAACAAATGTGACTGAGTAGCCGAATAGCTAGAACTGCCAGAGAGATGAATGTAGCATCTTTGAGAATAGCTGAGGCTATTGGGTGAATCGTAAATAACTATAACAGAAACAGAAATGAAAATAATTGTAGCCCTGAAGATATGATTAATTTCTCTTTTCTCAGGACCGTCCTCCTTATCACTTCCACAACACCTTAGATGAGCAAACCTTAAGTAGGATTCTCAGAAAGTTCTGTTCTAAGGAATGTAAGAAATAAAAGAGGGCTCTGTTCTAGATCAAAGATGTGAAACACAAACATGACTTCATAGAAATATCATAGATAACCATCACCCAGGAAGACTTTGGATTTTAAAATGGGGGAAACTGCTTTATTCATACAAACACACATACACGCATGCACATACACACACACACACACACACACAATTTTCTCCAAAGCAGAATCAGTATTGTAGATAGATCCACAGCTCAAATACACACAGAGATGTGCATATATGTGTACAAATACAAACAGCTCCATCAGCTTTGAATTGAGACCAGAATGCGACTGTCACCATGGGAATAAAAAAGTAAAAAGAAATGAGTACAGTGGCTCTCATCGTTCATCATGCTACGCTCTGCAAAGTCTCCATGACTACCATAGTGTTGCTGTAGGCCTCTGGTTGAAAAACGTTATCCAACAAATCAATACACAAACCTATTCCACATGTGTTTCCCTTAGAGGATGTCCTGTTTAATACATATTACAGATAGATTTCCACTGAACTCACAGCCCATCATGCATGTGTCAAGTTATGTTTATGCAGAATCTAACATATATACTTTCTATATACAGCACTTAACAGTTTTTCTGTGTTTGGGGTTCTAGACAGCATTTTATCACTGTACACAAGGACATTTTTAAAGAGCAAAGTTTCTGTAGCCAGTGATGACTAGGAAGGTCTCAGAGACCAAAGTGGTGCCTCTGTCTAGTGTTTCCCACTTCCTGATCATACAAGTAATTCACGGGGGGGGGGGGGGGGGGGGGAAGGAATTAATATAGGGAGGAAATCCCCTTACAGAGCAAAAGTAAGCCCCTAAGAGAAAGTGAAGACTTCTTAGGAGAATGTAGCAGCACCAGGCATTTTGGACCATTTGGCCTTATAGATAAACATTTATAGAAAGGAGGGTTATTCATAAAATAAAGTGAGGAATTCCAGGAAAGAGGTGGGGTTTTCCTGGAATAGGGTTTAATACACTTTTCTCTCCTTAAATGGAGCTTGGGTTGTGCCATTGCATCAGATGCATGATGGGAACATCCAGTTCAGGAAGACTAGCAATAAGGTACCATACTGAAAAGAGATAGAACAGTTGGGGGGCGGGACTTGGCCAATTGTGTTGGTCCCAGTCTGGAGAGTCTTGGTTTATGCAATTGCAACACACTCAGCTGTGGTTGCCGCTTCCAGTCACCATGTAGTTTGCCTCGCTTTTCCCTATTCCTAGCTAGCCTACTTCAGAATCATAATCAAAACCTACAAAGAAACAAATGAGGCAAAACCTTGCCTTCAGAAGGGACACTGGCTCACAGTAGGAGAGCCCGGAGGCAGAACAACACTTCCCTTGGAGTCACCTGGGAATTTACAAACAAGGCTCTTCAAGTAATCCGCAGTTCTCTCCAAACCCACACAAGCTCTCAAATGGATACAAAAGCCCACAAGTACATTTTGTAAGGCCAAGTAATGTCAGTTAGGTATCTACTATAGCTCCTTCTGGAATAAGGATTGACAGCAGACATAGCAATTTTCGAGGAAATAGTGTCAACTTTTGGCATCCAGAGGGCATTTGGCCCTAGGACTCCTGTAAATACCAAGCCCAAGCCTTCATATTAAATAGTCCATTATTTGCCTTCAAGTTTTTAAATCATATCTTGCTTGCTTATAAACTTAATATAATGGAAATGCTGTGCAAATTGAGGGCATACTGCCCTTTTCAGGGAATAACAAGAAAAGAAGCCTGCGCAGGCTGGGTACAGTACAAAATCTCCCAAATACTTTTGAAGGGCAGTTGCTTAAGTCTACAGATGCAGGATGCTCTGACTCAAATAAGAAAACCAAAAAGTTCAGCGGCGCACTGCACACAGCAGCAAGTTCACCACACACAGATGAGTCCCATATTTTGCCCATACATTGCCATCAAACAGAATAGTGTGAAAACAAGGTGCATACCCACAGCTCCCTCATCGTTTCTTCACCAGACATCAAAGCGCACCACATACACACTCAAAAACAGACGTGGCATTTGTCATTTTGCATATCAGAGTAAAACTGTCAAAATTAAATGGGTTTCCATATATGTATAAAAAAAAAGTAAGATTAGAAATGTGTAATGGAAACATAGAGTGTCTGGATAGCATAATTTAGGATTCAGTTCCATTGTCTGAATTATTACCCCTCATTTCCTAAGCAGTTCTAAAATAAAGAGGTCAATTACCTAATAAATAGTAGCTGGCCTATAGCTACACTATCACAATGATTTGATATCTACATTTAGTAAATTTTAGAAGTCATTTTAAGCAACAAAATATTTATTCTAGTTTTTAATGGTTCATTTATCAGGGTCCTGCTTCAATTTAATGACTGTAGGTCTGTAAATCTGTCTGTTCTCTCCAACACTGA